TGTAATGTGTGATGTTAAGAAGATCCGTGTTTTTCGAGGTACTTGTTGGGTACCGTTGGAGAGCCCTGCTGGGCCTGTGCCCGTGGTGCTGTGACATGCCACTCCTGTGTGCATTTGCCTTGCAGACCCATGAACACCCTGACGCTGACAGGCCAGTTCAGCTTCGCTGAGGTCCACTCCTGGGTGGTGTTCTGCCTGCCTGAGGTTCCGGAGAAGCCTCCAGCAGGAGAGTGCGTGACCTTCCACTTCCAGAACACCTTCCTGGACACCCAGCTGGAGAGTGTCTACAGGTGCGTCACACCTGCTGGGGTCATAGGCCACGTCCGGCTTCTATTTTTTAAGGCAGGAGTAATTTACAGGTCACAGGATCAAAAACCTGTGTGTTGAAGTGACTCTATTGGACAGCAAATAGGGTCAGTGAGGTTGGGAGAGTGATTAGGAAAGATGGGTATGCACAGATCAATACCTTTTCTAAATTCCCAACAGGAACAAGCATCATTTAGAAATAGTTTAAAAGGCTCTTTTGGAGGAGGAGTAGTAATGACGACAGAATGTCCACAGGAAACCTGCAGGGATATTTTTAGATCGCACATGGAGAACTTGGATGAAGAAAGAAGGTGTGCTGTGGTCACCCACAGGAGGATGTGGCCAAACGGTCCTTCCCATCCCAGTTCCAGCTGGATTTCATTCCATGGGAACAGAAATGGCCTTGGCTTTGGGCTGCCAGCTGCGGCCTGCTGGGGGGCTGCCCACTGCCCTCGTGGCTCCTCTGCCGCAGCTGTGCCCTGTCCCTTCCAGGGCTTCTCCCCACCCTGCTCTACACTGGGGGGCTGGACTCCGGTCTCCCCTCCTGCCTCTGGGTGTGCCTGTTTCTTGGGCGAAGCCAGCCTGTCTGCCCTTTGATCCCAGAGTCTTCACGCGCCCACTCTTCCACTTGTTTTTGTGGGTCTCGCTTCGTGGGCTGGGGGCCAGGGCTCTCTCTTCCCTGCCCTGAAGGACGGGGTCCCCGCCACTGCCTGGCCCTTCACCTGGGAACCAGCCTTTCTAGTCCGCCCTGTGGAGGTGGTCCTCCAGGGAGCAGTCAGCCACCTGGCCTCGCCGCTCACCCCATGCACGTGGCAGGATCCTGATGAGCGGGCTGCCTTGGCTCTTTACCTTTTGTGTTTGACATTCATTCCTCAACAGTCCGACTCCCTCTACCCTCAAGGCTCAGTCCAACAGCTACTTTTCTGAGGACTTCCTTGATTATTTTCTGTTTCCATAGCATTTTTTTTTCTTTGTGATACTGGGAATTGGACCCCAGGCCTAGTGCATGCTGGACAGGGTCTCCCCCGCCCCGGTATTTTATTCTTACCTGTCTTTGAGATGTATTGTTGTTTAACTGAAGTGTATTTTTTGTGTAAGCTTGTCTAAGTTCCACGATATCCTCATGGGATTTTTAATTGTCTCTGTTAATAGCCTCTCAGCACCTAACATGTGGCTTTGGATACAGTAGGTGCTTAATAAATGTTTTTCAAGTTCCTGAATAAAATGCCTGTATTTGGAGGTAGTGTAGAAGATTTGGAGGCAGGCATAATGAGGTTCAGCTCCTATATTCATCAGCTGTATTAACCCTTTGAGCTTCAGTTTTCTCTTCTGGGAATGGAAATAGTAGCACTTACCTTATAGAACTGCATGACAGTTAAGAGGATAAAGCACGTAAGTCGCTCCTCGGTGCCTGGCACTGGGGGTTTACATTCATCACCTGTTGGGCTGGGAGACAGGTGGGAGTGCCTGTGATTTCTATAGCACAGTTCGGATCAGAATGTAAAGGTGTATTGTTCATCTTTCTGGAAAAAACAACTTGCATTTGCCTACAAGTAGTCTGTACGGATGATCTATGTGGACGAAGGCCAGAGGAAGAGACCTCATGAAATATGTGAAAGATGGCAGGTATTCATTAGGAAGCTCTGGTCATCACAGTGAGGGACCAAATGCAAAAGTCTCCAGTAACTGTCTTGGGCACAGCTTGACCTGTGGCTTAGGGGATGCCATCAAGATGTGACCCCTGTCCATCCTTCAGTCTGCTTGTCTCCAGCTGCCACAGAGCCACTGCCTCCCACCAGTGCCAGTGACCACACTCCCGGGCTGGAGTGTCGTCGTTCAGTCTTGAACCCCTTGGTGGGGCGTGGGCCGTGTTGCCAGGTGCTTCCTCCTGGCACCTCAGAAGCGGATGGAGGCAGAGCCACTGAAATTGTGTGGAGGGGGCAAGAGACCGCACGAGTTTCTCAGAGGAAACTGAGGGTCCCGTGGCCAGCAGGGCGGTGGATGCCGGGCATGGGTAAACAGCAGAGTGACTCTTGCAGGTTTGATGTCAGATTTCTTTTAAGGATGAAACATATAGTCATGTTGTCATTTGTGTGATTACATCAAAGAAAACAGTTAGGCCTGTGTATGTAAGTAGGCGATTCTAAGCGCATTTTATATATGAGGCAGCTGTTGGAAGTGTTGATGACACAGAAGAAAACTAGTTTTAAATGAAGTGCTTAGATACATTATATCTTAAAGAGGCATTTGTCCAGCATGCTTAGCTTTATGAGTGTGTTCAGAACTGACTCAACAGAGAGAACATGATTCCATGTGTAGGTATGCTTTATATTAACACTGTCAAGATACCTAAAATCAGATGGAATGTAAATAGTTAACTACTAGTCACGGGATGTGTGTGGATATGTATTGACGAAGCTATTCCCGTGTGCAGCTTTCTTCTTTCTTTTTTTGTGGTACTGGTGATTGCACATACTAAGGCAGCACCCCACCCCTGAGCTACGTCCCCAGCCCTCTTCTACAGCTTGTCTTTTTAAAAATGTATTAATTTTATAGAAAAGGAGAAGGAGTTTTTAAATCTGACAACATTTCTACAATATCCATCCTAAAAGATGTGCTTTCTAAAGAAGCTACAAAAAGGAAAATTAACCTCAACATATCATACGGTAAAAAAAAAAAAAAAATCTTTCTGATTTTGTGTAGTTGTCTTACAATGATAATGTTTCTGATGAAAATGACTTATTTGGTTGTACCTGGCAACTTCTTGCAGAGATAAATGAAGTATCCGTCAGACACACTTTAATGCTGATCCACCCAAAGCTGGAATACCAGCTCCTCCTGGCCAAGAAGGTGCAGCTGATCGATGCTCTGAAGGTAAGTGTGTGTTGTGGGCTCGTGTCACTGTTTTAAAAGTGGGATTTCTGGAGTCAGAAACACTTCAGTGTCCTGTTGGCTGAATTTGAACACCAGGGTGCTTCTGTTTTTGATTTTAAATAAGGAATTGCAAGTTCATGAAGGAAACACAAACTTCCTGATACCAGAGTACCGCTGTATCCTAGAGGAGGCTGACCACCTGCAGGAAGAATACAAGAAGCAGCCTGCACACCTCGAAAGGCTCTACGGTTAGTGCCCTCTTCTAGAATACCTGGCCAATACCTGGCCGTGTACAGTTAGTGCCCTCTTCCAGAATACCTGGCCAATACCTGGCCGCGTACAGTTAGTGCCCTCTTCCAGAATACCTGGCC